GTCATGAAGCAGAAGGAGAGATGACTTAACCATGTCTGCACATCAGACACGCTATGCCTGGCTCCCAGGAGCGTGCAGATACCTGCTTATTTCTCAGGGCCTAAGAGTACAGTTAATAAAAGGCTAATGTTCACCAAGACCAACCTCCTGTTGCTAGGAGCCTATAACTTGACATAACGTCTATGCCCAACATGATTCATTATAGTAATCACAAAATTAAAATGTAAGCACAAACCAGCAGGAGTGAAAGAGTGAATTCATAAAAGGGGGGAGGGCATCAAAGTCCCCACCGTGATCAAGAGTTAACCTTTGGGAATTTACATATTGGATTGGGAATCTAGAGCCAAATGGAGCGCCAAATTTAAGTCTTCCGCTTTTATAAACCAGGCTAAATATGTGACTTTGTCATTTCGTCATGTAAATTAAGCATGCATTTCTAAAACTCGGTAACTATCTTAGAATAAGCTCTTCAACAAGAATTTCTCAGGGCCCTTGATTCGGGAAACCTTGTGCTGGGGGCTTAGACAAGGGGATTAAGACACCTCCCTGGCCTTGAAGCTATAGCCCAGTGAGGAGAGTGAGCACTGACAAGCATAGCATCAGAGCAAAGGCACCCACAGCACAGACTGCTCTGCTCTGCTGTGCTGGGTGGTACGGTCAGCATCCTTGTCAGAGGCTGAGCGAGATTAGGAGCTGGGGTACCAGGGAAGGCAGAAGCGATTCTGACAGGATAGCATCCTTCTCAGCAGCTCCCGCTCCGATGTCGCACAGGCCTGAGGCTGAGTCCCTGCTCAGCCACTCGTCAGTTGTGTGAGCCCAGGGGAAGCCGGCTGGCTCCTCTGAGCCTCAGTTTCCTCGTCTGCCACATGGTGATACGGATGTTACTGTAAGAGGCTCTCTGTGAAGACTGAGTAAGTTGATGTCCCACTTTCAATAGACCGTAGTTACCATTTTCGTTACTGTACCACCACCACCACCACCTTTAGGGGCGGGCAGGCATTGTCGAGATGGGAGTCAGCATTCCAAGGGAAGGCAAGGCAGAAGGAGCGGGTGTGTGGAGAGAGGAAGGAGCCCTGCATTTTATGTCTAGGCTGGAGAGCTAGCGAGGCCAGAACAGAGAGCAGTTCTTGGTAGGTGTAGGGTGAAAGGTCGGACAAGAAAGTAGGACCACACTGTGTGGGGGGCGTGGAATCTGGTAATCACAGTGAACTGTGTACCTTGAATCTGGGAAGACAGTGCGCCTTGAAAGATTCGGACAGTGATACCAGTCTGTGACCGCAGGGACAACAGGAAGCCCACACGTTATTTGCTAATGGATTGGGCTGCGGCGTAGGAAGTAAAGCTGACTCTTCCCTCTGTGTTTGTACCCCACTCAGCATTTTTCTAATAAAGGCTCCAAAACGAAAGGCAGACTTAGGACAGTCACACTGGGACTGCACCTGGGAACCCGTGGGTCCTCCGCCCTTCTCAGTGTTTCTGCAAGTTCGAACTAGACTTAGTCTGGCTCGCCCGTTTTTTTTCTCTCCAGACCTCCATTCACATAGATATCAGCCGATGGCCATGGCAAGACAGGAGAGACCAGGTTTTAATTGTGAGAGGAAATACATCAGTGAAAAGTTGCTGTTTTTAAGGAGTAAACATCTTTTATTTCTTTAATAGAGAAGAGGTCCGAGGCCATGGAATGGAAAACAGTCTGACTCAGGGTGCGGATTGAGAGCGAACACCAGCTCTGTACGGGGGCTCTCGGGTTCTCGATGTTTAGGGTGCTAATATTCGTCTCCTTAATTCCCCAAGGAGGTTTATTTTTTTAACTCCAAGGATAGGACTATTATCTTGGAAGAATCTAATCTCTACCCTCATGTTTTAAACGGCAAGCAGGGAGATGTTTTAAACATTATGAAAAGAAGAGGAAATCTCTCCTGACAAATAAATGCCTCGAAAAAATTAGATATTAGTACCAGTCAAGTGCTCACTCTTTTCAGATATATTAAAATTGCACATTAGAGTACAAAGATCCTTATCCTATGCTCCCGCCCAATGCCACAAAACATGAGACTTTAGGAACGATTTCAGAGACAAAAGCTTATATGAAACATCCAGCTCTTCCCCTTATGGGAAATTTCTTTTTTTTTTTTTTCACATCCCAGGCTCAATCATTTCCTAATGTGAAATTACAGATTTTTCAAATTACCATATAAAACTGCAAAAAAATGACACTGGTGACCACAGAGAAGATAGCCTACACTATCAATTTGATTTTAAAAGGCATACATCTTTTATACTACCTGCCATTTTTATAATGCCTTTTACAAATTTAATCAATACATTTTAACATTCTATATACTTTAAGTGCAATATACAATAAATATTCAAGTTTCATCTTAAACATGCTTTAGCCTTTAAATTGTTAAAACTGCAGTGCCCTTTCAATCTACTTACATAATGTCATAAAATATACATTTCGAGGTAAATGAAGTCAGCTACTTCAATTTAGTCCCTCAAACTGGTAGTAAATGAGAGGTTAACACTACGGTGCCAAACCCATTATTGAGTAAATTTAGCACCTTGGACAGCTCTGTAAAATCTTTATTGCTTTCCTGACCTGCTCGTCATGTTCTGTCTGTGTGTTCAGTGGCTCTCAGCTCTGATTGAAAGGCAATATATTAGATCCCCAACACAAACACGCTTGGGGGCTCGTTCGCCGGGCGCGGAATGACACCGAGGTGAGAGCAATTTTCTGGTCACCGAAATCCGAGCACCTTGCAGGGCCGTTGCGCCGCCTCGCAGAGGGCCCAGACATTTCCTCACCCCTCCCTGTCTGCGGAAACGACTGATAGAGCTGGACCACACCGGCCAAGCAGACCCGAGCATGGGCTGTCCTGCAACCCCAACGCCAATGCCGCAAGGAGGACATTTCGGAATGGGGGAGCCAGCACCTGGGGGCACCGCTCCCTTTGGGGGTGAGGCGGTGCTGGGCCGGTGACCCTCCCGGTGGCCGTGCACCTGCAGGGAAAGTGCAGCCCGGCTTCACGGACCAAAGAGGGGGTCAACTTTAGGCAACAAGATTCAAGTGTTTCATTTTCAAAGGATTAGTGGTGAAGAGAGCTCTGTCTGGGTCTCAAAATAAGGAGAAAAAGAAAGAAGTGGATTAAGTCACTGAAATGGTCTGTCACCAAAAATGTGTGAGGTTAAAATATATAGCATACACAGGTAGATGGAATGTTTCGGGGTTTACGACAACCTCAAAGATCTTGGGCTTTTCAGATCTTTGGGTCTGTGAAGTTCATTAACATAAGCGGCACTGCGCTAAGTTCCCGGTGGCAGTGTTCTGGGATTGAAGTTCACAAGTGCGGAAACTGCACCTCCTCTTGCTTCTGACAAACGAGAGACTTGTATTTTTTTTTCCCCTCGAAATGAAAAGTGATAAAAATACTTTCTCTGCCAAGGCCAAACATTTGCATAAATATTTATTTGATGAAATAAATGAACATAGACCCAGAGAAATCAAATCTTAGTAAGTAAATTCTCTTGATCCTGTTTTGTTTTCATATTTTCTGAGAGCCAGAGAGAGCCACCAGGTTTCAGCACGAGCAGCAGAGGCTAAACTTGATCTGGGGGTCAGGTTCAGTGTGCTGGCACCATAGTAAATTATTAACTGCTGTGGTCAGACAATACTGCAAACACAGAGTGGTGAATTATCTGGTAGCCTGCATTAGAAAGATAAAATTATTTCAGATGTATTGATTCAAACCCCATTGATTCTATAATGCTTTCCACTCCTGCCATGAAAAATAACTGAACTGGTTTATACATGGAGTCTGGCAGCGTAAGGCAAGCATCAATGTTTCGTAAGAACTGAAAACCCCTGTATCTCGTTTTTGGATTTAGGATGTTGTGTGTGCCACAAGTCATTACTACAGTATGACAACTATTTTATCTTATATTGTGGAGAATTTAAAATTGAGAGATACTAAAACACTTGAAGTTAAACTCAGGTTTGCAACTTTACCCACAGCCAAAAATCGTAAACATACCGTTTTGCACGCCACCTCTGAGAACCGCACGCGCCTTCCCATTTGAGGTGCTGAGAAGCCTCCAGGTGACGCCGCAGATCAAGCTTAACTTTTCTCTCCCCATTTCCAGTGTAAATGACTCTGCAGAAAACTGGGGCAGCGTGAGGACAACTGCTTTTGGTTAGAACAACAACAAAAAAATTACCGCCACACACACTTTTGTAGAGTGCCCTATATTATAAGAAACAAACACCATGCTAAATAGGGAAGCCCACCCAGAGGAAAGGAGGGTGGTCTTTTCTCTCCAAGTGGAGCGAACAGCAGAACCTGCATCTAGGAGGAGAATGAATGAGCCAGTGGGGAAAATGACAAATGATGCTGAATTGGATGAGTCACTGTAAAGGAGCCTGTGCTGGTCATGGCAACGGGCTCAGGGAACCCTCCTGTACAAGCCTCCCACAGCCAGTGCATCGCCCCGGTGTGCGCGTTCACTGTGTCCCCCCCACCCCCCGTATCATGGCTCTGCCACACCAGGGAGATAAAGCAAAGCAGGTTAATGCCACATGCTTCTAGTAGCAGAAGATTGATTGGAAATCCCTTGAAAATGACCTGCCTGATAAGGTCATGGTTCCTGGAATAAGCAATTAAGTGCAAAATAAACACATCTTAGGGATTCATAACATGCACCGAACGGCATCGATTGTGGCCGTCTAGTAAATGACCTCGCAATTGTATTCGGCAATAAACATATGAGTGCTTCGTCGTGCCTGTGCCGGGCGACTGAGGGGCGTATTTTATCTTGTGGCGCCAATGCTGCGCACCTTGGACTCGATTAAGTGTGTGTGTGAACAGGGATGAATGGGTGATTTAACGCCAGCCCGGGGTTGGGCCGCGCCTGAGCAGAGTGTGGCAGGGACTGCAGCGCGATCACAGGAAGGATGTCGCCTTGGTCACTCAGAGGACTGTTCCTGCTTTCTTTCCGGACAGGAGGTCATCCTCAAAAGGGCCGCGGACCTGGTGGAGGCGCTGTATGGGATGCCACACAACAACCAGGTGAGCGTGGGGGGGGGGGCTCGCACCCACGCGGGCTCCCGTGTCTGCCTGAGGATCTTGGGTTCCCCAGAGCAGCGAAGAAGCATGAAAAATAGAAAAGCCCCTCGTGAGTTCGGAGCCGAAGTCATTTAGACTTGCGAAGTTATCAGTTTTCTCTCTTCGCTGGTAAATTTTTTTAATTGCCTTTTCTACGGGATCATTTTCCTTACGAAATCTTCCTTGGGAGTGTACTTCATCATGAAGCAGAGAGTTTCTCGCACTTTATCCCTCTCAGGTTTGCGAACAAGTTGAGGAGGAAAAAGGGTTTACTTTCTTCCGAAAAGCATAACAAGATCAGAATATAATTCTCTGCCTCTGTGTCCTAGAGCGTGTCCATGTGTAGCATGCAAGTCGCTGAGGAAACTAGGAGTGTGACAAATTATTCACTCCTTTTTGTGTCCCCTGAGTCAATGTCCAGGGGATGCCGTCCCACCAACACTCAGGACACAGGCAATTTTCTACCACCTGCCCTGGACTTCCGCAGGAGAGAGGAGGGGCAGCACCTGTGTGGGTGTGCCGCAGGGGTGGCCCCAGTGTCCCTGAATGTCACTGGTGGGGAAGGAAAACCCGTGGTGCTGTCCTTTACTGCAAGGACATCGGGGGAAAGGCTTTAATGGCTCCCGCAGTCAGCCAAGCAGGGCTCTGCAGCCCAGCACTATCCTTAAAGAGGTGGGTCTCTTTGGGTGAGACCCTCACTTCTAGGACCCTCAGCCCCCCATTTGTGATCGGGCATGATGATGGTGCAAAAGGTTTGCAGAGAGGGGTATGGATGTTAACGCAGTCGGTGAGCCTCGGTGAGCCACGGTGAGCCCGGAGCGCCCAGGGCCTGCAGTGCGCCATCGAGGTGCCGCTGCCGGGAGAGTGAACGGGGCTGTCCTCTTCCTTTTCAGGAGATAATTCTGAAGAGAGCAGCCGACATCGCAGAGGCCCTGTACAGCGTCCCCCGCAACCACAGCCAGCTCCCGGCCCTCACTAACACTTCGGTCCACGCGGGAATGATGGGCGTGAATTCCTTCAGTGGACAGCTGGCCGTGAATGTCTCCGAGGCGTCACAGGCCACCAATCAGGGTCAGCAGCCTGTTCCCCGCCCCCGCTCCCTGTCCCTTCCCAACCTCAAGCTACTCCCCCCCAATTATTTGGCCCAAACAAGTTTTACTTAAATTTTTTTTTTCCAAAAGGGGAGATTCCCAGCTTGTGTGCATCAAATACTGTTGTAGCATTTTGGTTCTAGCCGTTCTGTCTGGTGATCAGGGGGCGAGAAGATGCGTGTGTGGAGCCTTCTCACCACCGGGCTCCCCACCATGCACCGTGAATGACAGATCGCAGAGAGGGCTGGAATTAAAGTTCTGAGGGGCCAAAGCCCGTCATCCTCGCCCAGGGAATAGGAACCTGTTAGCTTCAGGGTACGGCTCACAGATTGGGATTTATTTCTGCTCCAAAATGATAATTTATAGGCCCTGCATTGCCACTTCTCACGGCCCTGCTAAGTATTTATGATCTCCTAAGAAATGCACCTTGTGCTCACTTCCCATTTTAATCACAGAGCTCGGGCCACCAGCCCACGCCCATCCATCACCCGACCCCTTCCCTCCAGGATGCTGCGAGGGGCCAGGAAACAGAGCCCTTCCCCGCCCCAGTCTTCCAGGACACCCCCCTCACCCCCGGTTTTGTCCCCACTCCTCAGGTTTTACCCGCAACTCAAGCAGCGTATCGCCACACGGGTACGTGCCGAGCACCACCCCCCAGCAGACCAACTATAACTCTGTCACCACGAGCATGAACGGGTACGGCACTGCCGCCATGTCCAATTTGGGCGGCTCCCCCACCTTCCTCAACGGCTCAGCTGCCAACTCGCCCTATGCCAGTAAGTAGAGATGCGCGTCCGGCCTTTTCGCGCGCTTTCACGCAGAGCACTCGGCATCATGCCCGGCGCCCCACCCTGCCCGGCACCGACCCACGGCATGCCACTGAAGGCAGCACCGTCTCCAGCAGGAGTTGCTGCCCTCCCTGGCTCCCCTCCCCCCCAAACCCTTCCTCACTGCCAGAACCTCGCTGCAGCTCAGAGCAGCAGTGTGGTATCATCGCAAGATCCCAAGCTCAGAGTCCTAGAGGGATGGTGACTTACCGGTGACCCCAGGCACGTTCATCCCCTCGCCAAGCTCCAGTTTTCTCACCTGTAAAGTAGGAACTGGCCTCCCTCTCCGCATAGAGCTGATGTGAGACTCTGATCAAATAAGCCACACAGTGAGCTCGTCCTGGTGCCATGGCAGGCACACTCACTAAAGCTGCGCACTCACCATGGTGACGGGATGATGATAGTGGTGCTGGTGACAGGGCACAGGCCAGTGGCCTGGCACCTAAACTCTGACACTTGGAATTTACCCCTTTTGTGTCTGATATTGTAAAGAAAAGCAGCCATTGGAAAAATACACTTTATTTTTTCCCAAAACTCTGGCACAGTGAACACACACACATACACGAAATGTCCTTTGGTGCCTCATCTATTTCAAAGTTTCGCTTCCATTGTCTTTGGTACCACATTCAGATCACACTCAGCAAACCTCAGCGATCTGGCACCTTCACATGTGAAAGGTCACGGGTCCCTGCGATCCCTTCCCCCGCCTCTGAGGACGGCTGCACAGACAGATCGCTGAGTTCTTCTCGGACAGTGTGGGTGGCACTTCTCATGTGTGTGACATGCGGCCGGACTCTTACACACGCAGAGAATGATAGAGGATGTGTTGTTAAGTGGAAGGATATTCATGCTTTTTTTTAATAAGAGTCTTGTCTAAAACTGAAAGTTACACTGTTGCTAATAGAGGAAATGTAGAGAGCGCTAATCCTCGAGAAGAGGAAAGCTCAGGCTGGGCCTGTGAAGCAAGTTATTTCTGAAAGCAATTCGTGGGGCCTTTAGCTTTCTCGGTGAGTTTTTATGCTCAGTGTGAGCTGAGTTTTCGCGTTTCTACTTTGTGTGGAATCAGCTGGTTGAACATTTAAAATACACCCCCCGGCCTCCCATAATCTGGTTATATTACGTCCGCTCAGGAGGCAGCGTTTGGGGCCAGGTCCACCGACTTGTGCTTCCTGGGAAGACCGCTTCTCATAGATCCGTCACGTCCGTGGTCCCCCATCTACTCCGTCAGAAATGTTTCAATCATGACCTGAAAATTAAAAGGTGGCATTCTTAATTAAATCAATAAACTAATTGCTATATGGTAGCAATTCAATTTCAGGGCTTGGATTGCTCTGTCTTCTCAAGCCCGTGTGGCCACCAGGCAACGTCAGGCTGAGATCGCATTGGTTGGCCTGTAAAACTTCGAACATTTAATTTCCATTCATTGATTTCCTCAGTGCTCACAAATACAGTATTAAATCCTCAAATAGGCTCTCAGAGGGGACAGTTCCATCTGCATAAATGCAAATAAAACAATAAACACCAGGCCCAGCTGATTCGAAATTTTTGCCTCCATAATATTTAATTATTCATAAACCGCTCATGTTGAAATATCTCTCACAGAATGAAAAAAAATAAGACATTCCACTGGTGAGCACACTTTCTGGTGTGGTGGCTGATAACTAATGACGTTACAACTAATGGAACTGCCCGACCATATTTCACCCCTTCCTCCGTTCGCCACCCCCACCAGACTCCCCACCTCCACACATATCACAGCCACATTTGCCAAGGAGATTAATTGCCTTCCTCAGTGAACCAGCAGGATTTCAAGTCAACGAATATTCAAAAATCCAACCTCTAGTGCTGGCGGTACGCAATGTAAATGGGTATTATTGTTGAATGTATTTTCACACTTATAAACCTTAAGAGATATATACAAATGCTGGCCTCGTTCAGAGATAAAGTACAGTTGAGACAGTGTTTGGGAAAACTCCGTGGATGGCGGCCCAGTGCTGTGCTTTAAGGCGCCCGCAGTGGGCTTCCACCATGCACCGCTGGGAACTGATCACCAGGGGGCGCCTCTTCTGATGGCAGTCCCTGTCTGTGGCTGATTCGGTTCCCTCTTCCTTAACTTTCCAAAGTCAACAGGCCAATGGCAAGGCCACCTAAACAGCCTTTGGGACCTCGGTGGGCTCCTGGGAGGGGGAGATGCTTCTCCCTGGCCCCCTTTTCCCTTCGCGGGGCTGTGTGGTGGAAAGGGCACTGAGTGGGGGCTTGCTCCCCATCCTACCTGCGGTCCTCGGGCAACTCACTGGACTGTGTTCTGAGTTTCAGTTTGCTCAGGTGTAAAAAGGATCTAACAGGCCCCAACTTAAGCTTGCTTGGCCAATGATATATGCAGAAAAAGAAGTGAAGATTCTTGTGAGTGATAAAGCAATATATAATGTTCATAATGTAATGTGGAAAGTAATAACACAGTAGAAGAAAGTACCTAGAATGCCAATTTAAGTGCCTGGGAGTCACTGGGCAGCACTGATACTGTTCCCCAGGAGATGCCAGGGGTAGAAGGTGAGTGGATGAAAACACTAGTCTTGAGTGTAGAGGACTTAGTATGTGCAAAGTCTGTCTCCTAAAGTAATCAGATTTTAGCAACTAGCAAAAGGTGAAAAGCTGGGCCAAGTGGACCGTGGTTGGTAGTGAAGTTGCGTCTCCCCAGCTCTTTTGTAACCACAAGCACCTAGGTATTCCTTTCTGTGAACTGCCAAAGTTAATTCTCCCGTCACTGGAAATCCACACCCCCCCCTCCCACCAGAGTGTGGGAGTATTTACACAAGGCTCCTATCCTACTGCTTATTCATTCCCACGCATGAATCTGCTGCTCCAAGGGAGCTATAAGCAATTTGCAACTCTGACTTGTAGTTCTGCACTAGCCACAAAGGTTGCATGTGCTGGTCTGTTTAACCACTTTGCTTCCTACCCGCCTACCTCTGTGCTGTGCACTTACAGCCTTAAGGAGCTCACAGCCTCGGGGGGAGAAAAGGAATACACACACACACACAGACACACTGCCAGTGCCTTCGGTTGAAATCCAGGTGTCGCCTCCAGTCACCCTCCCTCCTCACGCCTTTCATTCCATCAGGGACCATGCCGTCTCAGGCTGGCCTCCTACCCAATACCCCCACCTCCTTGCTAGAACCTTAGATCAGGCCCTGCCTAGAGTGCTTGCCCTGACACCTCCTCTGTGAGCCTTCTCTGGCTTCCCTTCCCTGCCTCCAGGGTTGGCCACGTTCACTGTTACTGCTATTTTGTGCTACTCTCTCCCTTGTAAGAGCACTGTGTTTCCTCACCTGGGACATAGTAGACCCACAATAAACACACAGAAGATTACCACCAAAAAAACGTAGCACGTGCCAAGTAGCAAATGATGAAAGCAGACAAGCATTCAGGGAAGGCTCGGGCTGCAGGGGAGGCCTGAGCAGGGCGGCGGGCAGAGGGGCGGGGCCGAGCCACCTTGCGCTGGGATGCGGGGGGAGGTGCTGACCTCTGCTTTCCCGTCGCCCCTCCCAGTTGTGCCATCCAGCCCCACCATGGCCTCTTCCACAAGCCTCCCCTCCAACTGCAGCAGCTCCTCTGGCATCTTCTCCTTCTCACCAGCCAACATGGTCTCGGCCGTGAAACAGAAGAGTGCTTTCGCACCAGTCGTCAGACCCCAGACCTCTCCGCCTCCCACCTGCACCAGCACCAATGGGAACAGCCTGCAAGGTGAGCCCCGGGCCCCACCAGGCCAGCAGATGCCCTGACTCCACCCTTCCAGGGCCCAAAGCAGATGCCTCTCTGCTGCCCAGGGGCCAGCGTGGGCCTGCCTGCTTCTCTCTGCCCTCATCTGTTGGGTTCTTTTGTGCTCACTCTCCTTGGCCCTGGCCCTGCCTGCCCCCCCTCTGCTGCTGTGGCCTGAGCGGTCCTCCTTCCAACTTCAGCAGTTCTGCTCAGGCCCAGATTTGCTTCAGAATCCTGTTTGCGCTCACTAATGCCATCGTTTCTCTTTTCTCCTCCCCGTGGTTGCCATAAGCAGACCAGTCTTTTGTGGACTCTAGCAAGTTCTCCACTGCAGGGTCTCTCCCGGGACTGGCCTTCTCCTGAAGTAGGTCACTCAACCTTCCTTCCTGTTGGCTGTGTCGTCAGAGTGAACGTGTGTGCGGCTGATCACGGGGTGCGGGGTGCGGGGAGCCACAGCCTGACCAGAGCCTGACACTGGGGCCTTGTAGACACCCGAGACTTTCTTCTGTCCACCAGCGCATTCAGGTTCCTAGTCAAATGGTTCCTTCTCTTCCCCCTCATGGAATATAGAAAACAAGTCACCAAGAGTGGAAGTGACCTCTTGGCTCACTGAGAAAAAAGCCCCCCACTTTTAAAGTGGGTCCACCGTCTCTCATGTTTTGCTTGTGTGCTGGTGTTGGGTGCCAACCCGCACAGGCGCATTTCTTCTCCCACATCAGTGCCGTGGAGATGAGACAATGACGTGTAGGGAGGCGGTCAGAGCGCAGGACTCCCAAAGCCGGTGTGGCAGAAGCTGGCTTGAAACTCGGGCTCAAAAATTCACCTCTTTCCATCTCCCAAGCACTTTATTACTCGGGGGAAGGGGAAGGATGTGTCCAGGGAAATAACATCAATAAAATAATCTGCCATTTTTGAGCCCTGGAGAGGAAACTGTGCTGAAGGCTGAGCATGCTGTACCTTCATCCCCACCCCTTCCTGATGAAACGGGAGGACTGTTGTCATCTCCATTGTGCAGACGGTGACACTGACGCGTCAGCAGAATAAGTACCTGCCCACAGGGCCAGCCAGGGAACGGTGGGGACCAGTGTAAAGCCAGCAGGGCCCCTAAGCCCTGGCCTACACAGTGCCCCACCTGCCGTGGTATGCTCACCCTCACTATTGGAGGTCCGCAGGCTTGTTTGGGACTTCTCAGCCCTGTTTCTTGTGGATAAGTATATGTGTATTTGTTTATACGTATACACACATGTACTCTGTGCCGCAGCCTTTACATTGATGTAACCTTATATCGATTCTCCTGAAAACCCTATGAGGTCAGTACTATTTCCATTGTACAGATGGGGAAATTAAGGCCCAGGTTGCCCAAGGTCACACAGCTAGTACTGATGGAGCCAAAGTGAGTCCCCACCCTGTGACTCCAGAACCCGAGCTTCTGGTCACTCTGCCTAAGTCTAGAAGGGCCAGGGCAAAACGTTTCTGAGAAGGTGGTCGCAGCACAAGCCAAGGCCACGCCCAGCAAAGCATGCCTGCGCCCTCCCCCGAGCACCCATCGGCTTCCCCCCTCTCGGGGGGAAGAGGGAGATTGCCTGCCTGTGGAACTACACCTGAGTCTCAGGCAATGTCATTCCTGTTAGGACATGCCCACCTGCACAACGGGGTATCACCTATTCCTGCAAGTCTCTCTTTAGTAAAAAATAATGCTCTGTCACCCTCTGTGTACCTCCAGCTAGCAAACTAGGGACATGATGCTGAAGAGAACGTAACTCATAATGGGTTTTAAATAAGGATGAAACATACGGGAAGCAGAAGTCTGCTGTCTTTGAGCCGCCCCTTGCAACCTTTGCTGAGTGCAGATTAGCCGTCAGGAACAGCCGCTGAGAGGCGGGGCTGGGGAAGAAGTGGGTCTGGCTCGCGTGGCTCAGCTGGCGGGAGCATCATCGTGTCGCTGGGCGGTGGTGGCGTGTTGGATTTGCGGTCAGGGCGAGTGTCCGGCTGGCGGGTCCGACCCCTGGTCCCAGGGCGAGCCTGTGCGATCCTGGTCTGGGTGCATGTGGGAGGCAGCCAATCGGCGCCTCTCTCGTGTTGACGTTTCTCTTTCTCCCTTCCTCTCTCTCTAAAAGCAATGAAAAAAAAAAGTCCTTGGGTGAGGATAAAAAACAATGAAAGAAAAGAAATGCCTTTGTGAAGGTCCGTGGTCGTGTCACCAGCCAGCAGTGTCTGAAGTGAGCAGCCCGCCGAGGAGGGAGAAAGGACAGAAAATAGGGATTCGGCCCGGATTTCGGAGGCTCCTGGGTTTAGGGAACATGTGGGAGTGGTGGTGGGGGTGTGTAAGTAACGCCAACATGGCTTTAAGACATATGCAGAGTTTGTGCACTTGTCGCTCTTCGGGCCACTTCTCACCCAAGTCCGCACAGATCCCAACAGCAGAGGTTGTCCCCTGTCCCCTTTGTAACACGCAGCTGCGGAACATGGCGGTTTGGGGCTCCCCCAGGAACACACTGCCAGCATCTGCTGTTGCGGACCACGCTCCCCTTTCCTTCTGATGGAGCATGTGTCCGGGAGGGTCTGTCCGGTGGTTTTTGGTTTTCCAACACTGTCAAAGACCAAAGGTGCCTACTTTTGGGGGGTGGCAGCAGAGGAGGTAGGAGTAGAGAAATCAAAGTCACTTTTGACACTGTCCTTCTTCCTGCCCCCAGCCTGCTCCACTTCTAAGCACAACCCTCCCCAGGCTGGGCCCCGGTGCACGCCCTGCGCATGCTCCCGGCAGCTGCAGATGCTCCGCCCCATTAGTTCCACGAAGCTCCAGTGTGGGGCCCTGGGTCTCCTCTGAGGACAGGAGTGACTGCATGCCTGGTCAGTCCCCCAGAAAGCAGCATTGCAGTCTCTCAGGACAGCCTACCTTGATGCTCACAGCCTACCTTATGTCTTGAGTAGGTTTTCTTTTTTTTAGGACAAAGCAACTCTTGATCTCAGCGCTTCTGGAGCCTCCTCAGGTGCTCTGTTAAAAAAAAAAGTAAACGTTGTGGTCAAACAAATCCAGAGGGTACCCAACCCCTGTCTTGGAGATCAACCACAGCACACCTGAGCTGACTGAAGGCTCTGAGACCCCTGCAGGTAGACAGGGGGACTGTTCCAGTTACTGCTCCATCTAGTCCTCTAAACACCTTTGCCCACAGAACCTTCTGCCAAATGTGAAGACCGATGGACATGCATTAAAAAAGTTGGGAAATGCAGCTGTGTTTTGTTTTGGGCTTCAAAGGGAAAATGCAGAGAAACCTTCCATTCTTTTCTAGATGAGTTCGTAGGTGGAGCCTGATTTCTCACGGGTCAGACCTGAGCCACCTACCATGCCGTCATAGAGACACCCCCTCCTCCTAAAGCTGAGCCCCCCTGCAGTTTCAGGCGTCAGAGGACTTCTTTAATCAAGAGACGACAGCCCTGAGAAGGCTGTCACCATGCCATTGGACCCTGCCCCGGTGCAGTGAGTTTAACCCTGACCATGTCGTTGAGTCTGTGCGGAGACCATGAACAACAAAAGGCCTGAGTGTCCACGTACTGATTTTTTTCTTTACACACTTTGGTGAGACCCAGACTGGCCAGCCCCATGTCATCTAGTAGTGAGTCTGGTGGAATTGTCTTTTTCTTGATGCACGTGTTTGTTCAATTTCTGTAGGATCTTCACTCGTTCTGTTCCTGGTTAGCTCACAGTTCTCACTCATCGGGTGGCTTGAGGAAGGCCACATTCTACCCTGTCGCTCCAGAGTCCCCCAGCTCTGCAGAACTTTCCATTTTTGTCTTATCCTTACCAAAATGTTGGAACTGTACTGATGGAAGCGCTGCCTTTCTTTCCTTAAACAAAAAACATTTTATTGTGTGGGCTGTTATAGTCATCCCAACTGTCCTCCCTCTGCACCCCCCACCCGGCCACCTCCCGCTCCTACAGTCAATCCCCGCACCGCTGTGTCTTTGGGGCCTGTTCTTTGACTAATCCCTTCACCTCCTTTCAACCAGTCCCCTCTGACAGCTGTCAGTCTGTTCCATGTTTCTATACTTCAGATTCTATTTTTGCTCTTTAGTTTTATATTTTGTTCATTAGATTCCAGTTATCAGTGAGATCATATGGTATTTGTCTTCACCAACTGGCTTATTGCACTTAGCATAATAGTTTCCAGTTCCACCCATGTTGTCACAAAAACGTAAGAATTCCTCCTTTTTTCCTGCTCTGTAGTATTCCATTGTGTAGATGTACCACTGTTTTTAATCCACTCATCTGCTGATCAGCATTTAGGCTGTTTCCAAATCTTGTCTATGGTAAATAATGCTGCTCTGAAGATAGGTGCGCATATATTCTTTTGAATTGTTGTTTCAGGATTCTTAGGGTACGTTCCCAGAAGTGGAATTGCTGGGTCATAAGGCAGTTCCACTTCGAATTTTTGAGGAAACTCTATACTGTTTTCCACAGTGGCTGCACCAACCTGCATTCCCACCAACAGTGCATATCCTTGCCAGCACCTGTTTGTTGATTTGTTTATGTTGGCCATCCTGACAGGTGTGAGATGATACCTCATTGTGGTTTTAGTTTGCATCTCTCTGATGGCTAGTGAAGTTGAACATTTTTTCATATGTCAGTGGGCCATCTGTCTGTCTCCCTGAAGAAGTGTCTATTCAGGTCTTTTGCCCATTTTTAAATTGGATTGTTTGTCTTGTGGTGTTGAGTCATATCAGTTCTTTATATATTGTTCAGATGAAAACATTGATGTTTTGTTGGCAAATGTGTTCTCCCATACAGTGGGTCCCCTTTTAATTTTGATGCTGGTTTCTTTAGCTGTGTAGAAGCTTTTTGATTTGATGTAGTCACATTTATTTATTTTTTTCTTTGTTTCCCTTGCCTTAGGAGATATATTGGCAAAAATATTGCTACACAAGATAATCTGAAATTTTACTGCCTCTGTTTTCCTCTAGGATTTTTATAATATCACAACTTATATTTAAGTCTTTTATCCATTTTGAGTTTATTCTGGTATATGGTGTAAGCTGGTGGTCTAGTTTCATTTTTTTTGCATGTAGTTGTCCACTTCTCCCCCAACATCGTTCATTGAAGAGGGTATTTTTTACTCCATTGTATGCTCGTGCCCCCTTTGTTGAGTATTAACTGACCACAGAGACATGGGTTTATCTCTGTTCTGTCCCACTGGTCTGTGGGTCAGTTCTTATGCCAGTGCCAGACTGTCTTGATGACAGTGGGCCTTGTAGTGCAGTTGGACATCAGGTGTCGTGATCCCCCTACTCTGTTCTTCTTTCTCAGGACTGCCAAGGCACTTTGGGGTCTTTTTTAGTTCCATATAAATTTTTGGAGTATTTGTTCTAGATCTGTGAACTATATCGCTGGTATTTTAATAGGAATTGTGTTGAATCTGTAGATTGCTTCGGGTAGTGTGGATGTTTTAATGATGTTAATTTTTCCAATCCATGACCCCGGGATGTGCTTCCACTTATTTGTATCTTCCTCTACTTCAGTGTCCTGTAGTTTTCCAAGTTCAGATATTTTCCCTCCTTGGTTAAATTTATTCCTAGGTACCTTTTTTTTTTTGCAATGGTAAGTGGGTTTGTTTTTCTTAGTTTCTCTGAGTATTGATTTTGTATCCCACTACTTGAAAACAACACAGCCTTTCACAGCAATAGTCTTCTGAGCTCCTGTCATAGGACATGGTCACCCAGCTGCCGGGGAAGGTGGCAGTCACCTCAGCCTTGTGACAGCTTGGCACATGGGGCTGTCCGAGAGTGTCATGGGCCCGGCCTGGGCAGGTCCATGTGCCAGCTGCAGACACCCATCCTCCTACCCACATACGTGAGGCTGAAGACCGCAGCACAGACACGAGCCAAGCAGGTCGCCACGGCTCCGGTGCCTCCCTGCTGCCCTGCAGTGAGGTTTGTTCATGAAAAGGCCTTGTTGGAAGTGTCAGAGGCCACAAACAATGATCTCTCCCTCAAACTTACTCAGCAGGAAGGGCCCTGCTTCTGCGCTTTAGGCAGTCGCAGGTGAGATGTAGCGAGCTGTAACTCCTTCGTGTGATAGGCAACATTCTGGGCGTAGGTGCATGTGGGCCCTTCTTCTGGAGAGTGGCCCCGTGCCTTTCATTAGGTCTCAGAGAAGTCGGGGCCGGCGCCCAAAAGGTGGGGATGCAGGGGCCGACCAAAGCCACCCCTACAGACCCTCAGGTAGGTTTGCTGGTTTGAGTTTAATGATTGGCTAACCTTTATGAATGGAGCTATGAATTTATTTAAATTCACATCTTCACCTTCCCTTGAAATAATTCGGGTTCCTGCACAGTAGCATTTGCCTTGGCAGAGTCTCCCCCCCCCGCCCCTGGGCACTCGGTCCCGGCCTGGGCTCTCAGGGCGCTGGAGTTGGCTTGCCCCAGAGGAAGGACTGTTAGTTACAGACTAGCGTCTGCTAGCTTTGCTTTATAGCTCGGCCCTCATGGAGGTTTCATCCAATGAATCTAACACGTCATGCCGGGTCCTGAAACACTACTTAGATTTTTTTTTTAAAATTCTGGACATCCCATGGGATGTTGACTGATGAGTGTTGGCTGAACCCACGGACCAAATTAGCGGGAAGTTGGTCAGTTCTCTACTGGGCATCATGTTGACACTGCCCGATTACCTGGCTGGGCTGGGGACCGCCCTTAACTACCAGGGGCACAGGAGATCCTGGTGGAAGGAGACTTGCTTCTTTTGCCATAGGCTTAGAAAGGCCTGCCTTGAATAAGGAACCTAGACATCCCCTCCAGCGTGGTTGAAAAGATTCTTAGGGTGGAGGGGTGCTGAGTTGGTGCAATGCACAGATTCCCCCCCACCCCCACCCTCGCCTTTGGAACTACAAGCATCCTGAATTCTCCAGCTAAGGCTTGGGTTGAAATACCAAGCTCCAGGTTTCAGTCAAATCTAGGGCTTTTTTGGATCTTAGGGGGACTGAACTTCCAACTGATCCCAAATCTTTGGGGGTTTAAGTTGGTCTGCATTTGGCAAGAGCTACTTCCTGTTTCTAAGAAAAATGGCTTTTGAGGGCTTAGGAAACAGGCTCCAGGAGCTTTTGGGCTGCAAAGCGGCTCTTGCAAAACAGCATTTGGATGATTTACGTGTAAATGAATCAGAAACATGTGGATTAAATTTCCTTGTGAATACAGATGGGTTTAAAAATTAACGGAAAAAGTGTTTGGCAAAATACTTTTTTTTTAATTGAGTCAAAAATGTCATGGATGGGGAAGGGGAAGCACAGGGGCGTGGGGGCCACAGGGCTCGGACCCCCCCCCCCCCCCGGTCGCCCGGTGTCTACGGCAGGATGTGTGTGTACTGGGTTTTTTTTTTTTTTTTTTTTTTTTTAGTGGCACATTCCTCCAGACATGAGATTTGGGAAATGAAAAAGGCCACTTCCTAGATGCAGTCATCACTGACAAGAACATTAATTTAAAATTAGAATTGCCAACAAAAAGAAAGCAATGACTCGTTCCGCCTGACGGCACGCTAAGCCATCCCTGAGAGCCAAAGGTGGCTGCCATTTGCTTCTAACGTAAACATCTCTCTCATCCCCGTGCATTTCAAAGTTGCCACACTGTTTTCACGGTGTTTTAGACATCCTTTGTTCCTCACACCCTTCACGTAAAGTGTGCTGTAGGGCATGGTGCCTATTTGATGGCAGAGGAAACAGCCCAGAGATGTTAAACAATGAACACAAGGTCACACAGTGAGTGTAGTGGCGGAAGGGACAGATTAGAAATGGTAGCAGCTAATCTCTGTCACATCTTCCGTACGAGCTGAACCTGGGCCAAGCACCTCTCGTATTTAATTTTACTTAGATCTTCAACAACCATAGCAATATCACAGCGTTTGCAAATACCGATGAACTGCATTTTCTAGCTGAAGAGGTAGAGGCTCAAGAGACGAGAAACCACCTCCTGGGGGACATCGTAGTAAGCCAGAGGTGGACGCCTGTCTGTTGGATTCCCAGCTCTTCTAAATACTACATGCAGCCTGTTATCTTAGAACCCTCAGCCTCGGAGAGGTCCTTCCCCGGAATCTCACCCCAGCTTTCCTTAGGCCACAACTTTCTAGGGAGTGTTCAGAAACTTCTGCAAGCCCGACACGAGCAGTGGTAGAGGGGATGTTCTGCAGTTGCACTCAAACCTGCCTTTTCCTCCTCCGCACTTTCTCCCAGCACCTTGGCCTGTGAACGAGGCCTGCTGTGGCCACTCGCGGGCATGAGCTCAGGGAGAAGGCCCTAGGACTGGCCATCGGTTGTGAGCTACCAGAGCACAGACACCCACCGCGTTTTGTAGAAAGTGCTAGCAGTTGGGATGGACTTATTTTAATATGTTGGCAGTGAAAGGGGGAGGAAAAAAAGTGACAAATAGAAAATCCTCACTGTTTTGCAAGGTTTTGGGCTGTGAGTTTCCCTGCGGCATTCAAACTATGCAACTTTCCCCGTTGTGTTTCAAAATTGAAATCAGACTTGAAGGGATGCTTCGCATCTTCGGCTCTGTTGCAGACACACACTGGCTGGTCTGTGAGGATGCTTAATAAAGGACGTGTATATTTTATACAAAAACCATTCTAGAGAAGAGGACAGCACGTTTGTGGCGAACAGTTACCCGACATAGTGGTGTGTGGGTGTTTCCCCCCCCCCTCTTTTTTTTTTTCTCAGTGAGAAAGTTTGGAGGCAGAACCACTGACTTTCGCCTTCTCTCCCCACAGCGATATCTGGCATGATTGTTCCTCCCATGTGAAAGAATTGCCTTGAAGAATTTTATTAATGAAGAGGTTGGATTCTGCTACAGACAGAGAGTAATCTGATACAAGTCCCAGAGTGGAACTTTTAACTCAGGCCTTTTTAAGAGGAATCACAATTACTGCAGATTTTTAAAAACAAACAATATCACCGACCTTGCAAATACTGAAATTGGAAGGGATCTCTGAGTGCAGGATGCTGGTGAAAGTTGTACCTCCCAGATGTTTGGGGGATATATTTATTCTGTGTTCATAAAAGCAAATCCACTTTTTCTTTCTTTTCTTTCCTTTTTTTTTTTCTTTTAAGCTTCACTCCGCAGTCATTTGTCTTTTACGAACCGTAAAGCTGTACACACAGGACACTATAAATAAGACCCCATGTTTTAACTTATGATGTTTTTAAAGCTGTGTAAAGGGAGAACGAAGTGGTGATATTTACAAAAAAGTAAAAAAAAGAAAAAGAAAAAAGAAAAAAAAAGCTTGTATGGGACAGAATAGGAATGCCAGTTAGATTTTTTAGAAAACTAAGAGTTGGCTTTTGCGCCTTAAAGCATATCAGATGGTAGTTAGCTCAGACAGTGCATTGTCAGTATCTAACTTAACAGGCCACCCCTTAGCAGTGCAAGCTTACTTATCTCTTTTGTATTGTTGTCTTAAGTAACTGTGTAAATAAATGCAGCCTGCAGAGTTACAAAGTGATGTTAAGTGATCACATTTTTCCCTTCTACTCAAAAATCCAGTGCCTCTAGACAGATTGTTAAAAACTGCATATTTAAGCCCGATTATCATTCTCGCTTTTCATTCTGTCAACTGCTTCTGAGGCCGGTGGCCTCTCGAGAGCTTGGTGGCACACAGCGTGTGAGAGTCTCCTTTGAATCTTCATGGAACAGGGTCCAGGCACAGAATTCCACGTGATGCCCTCCAGCGATCAAGCCAAAATCCCTCTTACACTCCCACCACCCACAAGGTAAAAGTTTACGCATCCCGAACGCTGACTCCACACATATCCTCCCAAAGCTGACAAAAGCAAGCTGGAGAGAGAGAGATAGGGCTCCCATCAGTCAACCCTAGTATCTGTAACACAGTAGATCCAAAGGATAGGTGAAGTGCTTTGGAATCAAGAGTATGAGAAAACTGGGAGAAAGGAAAAGAAGGTCGAGACCTCCGAAACACAGTTTTCTGTTCTTCGGAAATGTTTGCTCTCGTTATCTGGAAAGTGTTCTTAAAAAGAAGGATAGCAAAGACGCAGCAAAGCTACGAGGATGCATTTGCCTGATATTTTTTTCTTTGCTGTTGTGTTTTTGTATGTAGTTATAAATACTGTAGATTTTTTTTTGTGATTTTTTGCCAAAGTCGTTGTTCTATTTATACATTTTAATGTCTTAAGACAGTTTTTCAATATCGCAAAAAGATTTTACGGCATATTTTGCAAAGGAAAAAAAAAGCTCACTACGTTTAGCTTGCACATATTTGCAAAATTAATTAAAAGGCTTTCTGTTTTAAAGAGGATTTTGTAAAATATCCATATAAATAATGTATTTATCTTTGGAATTTGTACATTGCTTTCCCTTTCTTCCTTTTCCTCCCACCCTCTATTTTATTGTGTATGTTGGCTATGTGAAAAGTGCATATTTGTTTGGTCACCTACAGTTGTATTAGCTGTTTCAATGGGATTTTTAAACATTTCATTTATAGTTATTTTTAGTATTGTTTTAAAACCATGCTTCAATTTTTTTAAAATTTCCACCCAAAAGCCATTGTCTATTTTTGTATTATTTGTAAGTTAAGAAGTTTTTTCCAATATATGGCAAAAAAAAAATAGTAGCATATTATTCTTGTAGCATTTAGTTCTGTAGATTAAAAAAAATGTATCCTTTGCTTTGGAAGCTTACAAAAAAAATCCAACCCTAATGCTGTTTTACTCTATTAATATGCATGGAATCCCTCCCTCTGGAGTGATGCATTTTGTGCATTAAATTCAGGGGAGAAACTTCATAGAAATCAATGAACATTCTTTCTTAAGTCTGCTTGTATATTTCCTCTGTCTTTCACATAAATATAAACCAGCAGATTGGATGCCTTAACAATGCAAATCATATTCATTTCACTTGTACATTGTAACTGTGCACCAGAACTGTCAGTCATCACTAACATTGTAAAAAAAAAACAAACAAAAAACAGAAAAAAAACAAAAAACAAACAAAAGAAAAAAAAAACAAAGAAATCGAAAAGCACAAAAGAACTGTTTTGTTACCTTAAGACAATGTAACTTTTTTCTAGTAGACAAGAAATTTACAACAATGCTGCAACTGTGCATGCCCCCCGTATGGATTTTGCAATGGTTTTCACTAGACTGTCAAGAGTGCGATTTTTATGGGTTGGGGTGGGTGGGGGAGGGGAGTTGTGGGAGGGAAGGGAAGGGAGGAAAGCTGATTTTTCATGGTGAGAAATAATAATAATGATGATGAATAATAATAAAAAAACTGGAAAATGTAAGCAAGGTGGACGCATTGCTTCTCGGTACTCAGAAAGGTGGTCTGAATTCGTGTGGTAAGCGCTGGCCTGAAGATGTGTACAATTTAAAGCCATATTTTGTCTGGTGAGCCCCTTGACTGTTTGCGAAAGAATGGTCAGCCGGGGAGGTGCCCGGCTCAGACCTTGACAACAAATGCCACCCATCTGTCAGCCATGTGTAGTGGTTAGAACTTTTCCTGAAAGTCCAAAGAGCCTTTAAAATACATTTGTGTTTTGTTGCCCCTTATTTACATGGATTAGATGAAAAAGATGTGCTTGCCCTCTGACCCCCCTCCTAAAACTGTTACAAGTAAAAGATGTTCCCCTGAATACAGAATATGGCTTTAAGAAGAAAAGGAAAAAGGAAAAAGAATTAAGTAAAGATTTCGGTTTGGGGGAAAAATACAGCTTCTTGATGACTGGATTGCATAACACGCCCTGGCCTCATATTGTACTAGAATGCAGTTTAACGAAGTCATCTCTAAATCTACTAACCTTTCACCTTCCTATCCAACTTTTTGAATAGACACACACTGTACAGTTCAATTGTTAGAGAACCTAACTACTGTAGAGATTGTTATAATTTTTTTTCTTTTGCAAAAATTCAAGCTGTAAAAACTTTTCAACTTTCACAATATTTAATTAAAGTTACTTCCTGTCTGTGATGGCAGCTCCTAGTTGTGTATTCATTTCGCTATCTCAGATGAGCCAAAGTCCAACATAACGCAGACGGTCTGTGCTTGCCATTACTCAGGCCAGTGTTGACACCCAGAGAAAAGAAATTAGGGTAGTCCTGGGACACCCACTTTCTTTGTGAATCCTTGGGGATTTGCTAATCTGGGATGCAAATTGAACACGCACAGCGTACTGCTGCCCTCTGCTGGCAGCAGCTGGACGCGCACGTGCCCAGGCTGGCCCGCAGAGCAGCGAGAGCCCCAACACTTTCTCCAAACCCAGCAGATCCCCCGCTGTGACAGAATTGTGAATCCAAGACCCGGCCATTCTAGAATGCCGTCCTCCGCACTACAGGTCCGAACCACGCGCTTCACATACAGCTGCTAATTAATCCCTGGGAGCCTTTTGGTCAATTAATTATGTGCCCTGGCTCATTGATGAGGAGACATGTGTGAACTCAGAATCTTCACGGCTACAGTTTTAAACCCCGTGTGGGCGAGACACGTTCCCTGTTGGCTCCAGCCTAATTTACATGGTTCGAATGTTCCACAAACACCCAGTAGGTACATAATCCTGTAAAACTGCCTCACTTTCTGTTTCATCACGATCATAAGTCTTCCCAGTTGCACATTCAATGCTTTTCCTACTTTGAGATTGTTGGACATGATAAAGGTAATGATGCTTGTAAAATGTCTCGAGAACTCAGCAAATAGGCCGTAGACCAACAGAAACTTGATGGTCAGAGCTAATAGGGTGTCACACCACCGCCATCATGATCACTTGTGCTGGGCATTGTTGATACACATTTGCTATGGAATAGGGCCCAATTTGAGATAATGACAGAGTGTAATGAATTAAGTTAATAAGTAGGGATGCTACCATCCTTTACCTAAACAGGGAATCTACGTTGATTAGTTTGGCCATTCAATATACAGTTCTGGAATTCTATATTAGACGCAGGTCCCTGTATCAGATGCAGAAGATTTTTTTTGAAAAGTGAACAAGAGGCGTCTGCGGTTAGGAACTTCACCATCTCAGATAAGATAAATCTACACTCGATAAAAGTAGTCTTGAGCAGTTAGACTGAGCCAGACATGCCACAACGCTCCGTAGAGTAAAATAGACATCCACACCTCGGCACGCTGGCTCCTCCTTGCCCGAAGGCCTATTTCATGGAAGCACACGTTCATTCATTCACCCCAAAGGCTCACCCTGCATCTGGCCCCGGGCCAGGCTCAGTGGGTCCATAGTGAGCACAGAGACACTGGTTCTGTCCTCAGGGAGATTACAGGTGAGCGGGGCAAGCAGACGTTACGCAACCACACAGGTATATCCCAACAGACCAATAACAGCACTGAAGACAAAGTCTCGAGTGCTCTGAAAATACCCTATTTTGCCATGTATAATGCTCATTGTTTTGCCCAAATTTTTAAGAGAAAAAAATAAGGATGCACATTATACAAGGGTTTCATGATTACATACCATGGGTATAATAATCCCACATATAATGCATGCAGAAACATGGGAGTACATCATACATGGCAAAATGCATGTGCTACGGCGGGATCTGATTTAGCCTGAAGGACTGGGGAAGGTTTCCAGAGAAAGTGACGTTGGAGCTGAGACGGGAAGGAAGAGGTAACCAGGTGGGGTGCGCGCCACGGGCACAGGGCATGTGGGCGGGTGTGAGGATCTGAACTCTGGGCGTGGACATGGTGCGTTCAAGAACAGCAAGTTTGCGTGAATGGCATACGCACGAGTGCAAGATGGCACCGCAGAGGTTGGGAAGCTCGATTCTGAACACATACTGAGCACCTACTATGTGCCTGGCATTGCACAGGTTGCAGGGATGCACCCGGCAGACCAGTCATAACTGCTGCCTGTAGGGCCTAAGGCACAGCCCGTACACTCTCAGCCCCGAATCTGTCCACAGGGGCTGTGCTGGTTAAATGGGGGGGGGGGGGTGAGCAGGGTAAAAGAGGACACGGAGCACCTCCCTTCCTCCAGCCAGTGGCTCCCACGTGGGAGGGTGGGCCCAGCAATGCCCATTTTTTGTTTTTTGAGCATGGCATAAATATTGTTGGGTTCTAGGGTTTTTTGGGTGTGTGTGTGTAAAATTTTTATTTCTTTAAATGTCATCTAATCCAAAAATAGTGCTTTCAAAACACTGAGTTGAGTAAACAAAATCCATGAGCTCTCGAATGTCGGTCTGGGACTTCTGGCCTAAACACAAGTTGCCGAAGGAGATGTTTGCACGGCCTGGTCTGAAGGTCAGAGTGATGGGCCCTCTCCGTGGAGGTGGGTCGAGGAGTGCCGCAGAGCAGAGCACGCGGGAGCGGTGCGGACAGGGGTGCCTAAGCCGATGAGGAAAAGCAGGGCATGGAAGGCCATGGTCAATTTTTTTGGAGCCAGCTATGTGAGAAAAATTACTTAAGTCAGTGGAAAGGAATGGGAATAGTATGGGAAAATGGACTACGTACGTGAAAAAAAAACAAACCCGCTACTCTGCAGTAGCCACGTTCAATGCAAAAATCATAGATTGGTTGTGTTTCTTTTCAACTCCTTTTGCTTAGCAGAAAGGCTCTCATGGACCAGCTCACCCTTCAGTGGACTGCCAGGGACTCGAACGCTTTCCGGCACACCCCGCTCAGGGCCAGGCCTGCTCCGAGATGCTCCAAGTTACTCACATCCTCAAGGACGTTGCTCCTGGGGTTCTTATCCTCTCCCCCCAACATCAGCAATTTCTCCTTCCTGAATATTACTTTCTGATTAGTGTACAGATAGAATATCTCCCAAAACATCTATTTTGACCTCACTTTGCTTTCAATCCACCCGTTCCCTTTCTGCTGCCGTTTAGAGCAAGTCCCCCTCTAACGAGTTGTGTCTGTCTTGCTCTCTCCTCCATTTCTCGTCTCTTGTTCTCCATATTACAATACATGGTAAACTGTAATGATAAGTAGTGAGTCTTCGACATCGCAAATACGGGACTGAGCGTACATTGTAGAACTATCGTCCTGGTTGCTGTGTAGACCATGAACTGGAGAGAGGCAGCGGGGAGATGGAGGGCAATTAGGAGTTGTTGCAAGGGTGCAGACAAGGGAAGACAGAGGGGCTTAGATGAGGAGAGTGGAAAGCAGGGAGGCAGACAGGATTGGAAGTCGTCCACACTGTGATTCTAGCCAACCACACTGTGCTGCACAGTTGGGAGTTGCAGAGGGCCTAGGCCTTCAATGTCCTCACCACAAAAAGCAATGATGATTCTGTGACCTGACAGAGGTGTTAGCGGAGGCCACGGTGGCCATGAATATGTAAATTCACATGTTGACCACCTTAAACGTACACAGCGGTATGTACCAATCATGTCTCAATTTAAAAAAGGATATTTGGGGGACAGAGCCACCAGGATTTGGTGACTGATACAACATGGGACTGAAGAAAAGAAAAAAAAAAGAGAGAAGCTAAAACTCAGTTTTCTGATGGGGGCCACTGCTCTGGAAGGTCAGGTTGATTTCCCAGGGCTGTTTGTCTGCTGTGAAGCCGCAAAGTCACGAAGCTTCGTGGCGAAGTCCCTTCCTACGGCTGCCTTCTAGTTCCTCCCCTCTCCTCCAAAGGCTTCTATATTTACATGAGGAATGAAATTCAGTTTCCGGAACTGGAAATATGTTGTTATTTTTTTTTTTTTTATCTTGAGCATCAAGCAGTTTTATCTCTGCTCTCTGGAGAGTTAGGCTACAGTGGGCCTGATTTTTATCTACTTAGCATACTTTTTCCCACTGATTGTACAATCGCCACATTCTATATTAAGAACGAGAGTTCTGAGCCACAGGCCTGAAAGCAGGCTTTCGGCAGGAAATGCCTCGCCCAGGGAGTTGTGCTCTAAGGAGACTCCGCTGCTCTGCAGGGAGTTGATATAAAAGAGGGCGGCGCCCTGTGCAAGTCTGTTCTTCCAGTCCATGGATTTGGGGGGGTTCCGCCAGGACAGTCGTGGTCAAAAAATGAGGGTGCAAGGAGAGATGAATTAGGACCAGCAGCTGTGGTCTCTCCTCTAACTCATTTGCTCGGTCTTACTGGGGACTTCCATAGTGTTGGGCACTGTGCCGAGTGTGTCTTAAAGGGACCCATTTCCTCCCCTCACTAGGACACAGGTATGAACAAAACAACCACGCAAACGTAATTTCA